GTATGTGTTGTGTGTATTGTGTTTGACAGTGTGTTGTGTGTATTGTGTTTGACAGTGTGTTGTGTGTATTGTGTTTGACAGTGTGTTGTGTGTACTGTGTTTGACAGTGTGTTGTGTGTATTGTGTTTGACAGTGTGTTGTGTGTACTGTGTTTGACAGTGTGTTGTGTGTCTGAAATTTTTGGCACTGTGCACAATGTAACATTTGTTCTCTGACTTGTTACTTTTATGTTATTGACATACTTTGTTGATGATTATTGCGATGATATGGACATATTAAAATCTTAAAAGGAACATACTATATTTTTGTTTGTTTTTGTTTCTGAATAGAGTGAAATGAAAGGTTGGTTTAGATAGAGTGTGAGATTTGGAAGAGGGGTCACATCATTTTATTTTTCTCAGCTTGAGGTTGAAGGATGTCACAAATACATGTACTACTTCTTTACTCTCCCTGTGTTGTGTCTGTCTGTCAATGTGGGTGATTGGCAGGTGCTCTGGTGTGGTTTGCTCCTTCTTTCCTATAAAACATCTATCGTCCTTATCTCTCCTCCTTTTTTGTGTATGTTACTCTCTTGTGACACGTCTGTTCTTTGGCACATAAGTTTATATGACCTTATTGTGTTGCAAGTGCCGTAAAACACTTATTAAATCTAACTTGCTTTTGTGGGTAGTTGGTAGATGCCCTGGTGTGGTTTGCTCCTTCTTCTATATCAAACAACTATTGTTCTTATCTCTCCTCCTTCTTTTTTGTGTTTGTTACTCTCTTGTATACCATATTCAGTACCTATATGACCTTATTGTGTTGCTAGTATGCTTGTGCCATAAAACTCTCTCCAAAATACCCCCCCCCCCCCCCCCACAAAAAAAAGCCTTCTAAGCTCAATGTCTTCAGTTTTATAGAGAATTCATTTCAAGTTGTCCCCATGCCATAGTCTGCTGCCCACTAGATGTGGGCAAAATCCAGATAATCCAAAAGGATAACCGGATAATTCTCAATGAAACATTATCCGATATCAGACTCTTAACTCTCTTTCCTGACCCGTTTGACGAAGTGGGTGCACCCATTTGTTGAAGTGATAATAACCCGTTTGTCAAAGTGGTTCTAACCCATTTGCCAAAGCGTTTCATATCTTATTATTAGCCGAAGAGGTGCACTAAAATATTTTCCGGATTTTGCTGAAGCGACTCATTGCCCAGCTCTACTGCCCACCTGCTCTTTCATTTAATCAACAGCCAAAGAGTGCAGGCATCTGCACTGTTATGGTCTGGCTCTCCATATATAATATTTTATGAGTTGGATTCCGGAATGGGGAAATTACTTTATTGAGAATTTCTTTCTTATCCCTCTCAGGCCAAGTTGGCCTTGATATACAAGGTGGAAATGAAATAGCCCACATGCAAGCCTGCTAAATTCTGCTGTCTTTTTAAAAAATACAGTATATATGTCACGATGCGGTGGAATCAGGCGTTGGTCAATTTTTGGGCATGTGGAGTTATTATCATCTGAATATTTTTATTCCTTTGCCTTGCTTTAAAAAAAAAAATGACACACCTGTCTCAAAAAGAAATCTAGATATTTGTGATTGAAGGAGACGGGGTCACCAAGTTTCAGTGGTAAAATTAGTGAGAAAATGGCCACCAAAGTTTGGTAACTTCAATCATTTGAGAGTCCCTGAACGCTTAAAGATTACAATTTTTGGTTTTTAATCAACATTTTTCAGTATCATGCACATGTGTTTTTCTAAGAACCTAAAAGGTGTTGTGCCAAAAAATAAAAAATCTAAAAAAAAAATCATCAAACTGACAGAAAAAGGCCTGTTTCTTCCATTTCATTATCTTGACATGCGCCTGATTTCACCACGCTGCCTCACATATGCAGTTTAAAATTTTTACAGGAGAGCTAAAAAACTGAACAGTGTTAAAAAGAAAACCAACTTGTTGCAAACATCCTAAGTCAATATTTTTAAATGATATTATTGTAATTTTGATATAACTTTTTTATTATTTTTAAAGCAAATAATATTTTCTTGTAACAACATACTGTTTTTTGGCTTTCAAGTAAAATTGTAAAGACTCAATACACTATACTTTTTAAAATGACGTCCGAATTGTGAATCTAGGAGCATGAAGTACATAAATCTGAGGCATCATGCATGGTGAAATCAGGCACTCGTCAAAGTACTGAAATCGAAGAAATCTGCATTTTTCTGCCAGTTTAAAAATGTTACTCTAATTTTTGTGTTTTGGCTCAGTACATTTTATGTCCGTTTAAAAACACATTTGCGTGTGAAATTTATTGAAAAATGCTGATTAAAGGCACAAAAATTGCAGATTTTTAGTTCTCAAGGACTCTCAAGCTTTGAAAGTCACCAAACTTTGGCAGCCATTTTCTTGCTAATTTTACCTCTGATACCTAGCGACCCTTACCTCCTTCAATCACAAATATTTCATCTTCTATTCAAGTTAGATTGGTATTTTTTTACAGTCAAAACAAGACATATGAACAACCTTCAAGATGATACCAATAACTTCACATGCCGCAAAATTGACGAACACCTGATTCCAAGTGCACCATGCAATTCCAAATAAAATGACCAGAGCTTTTTCTAATTTTTTTTTACTTCGCTATTTTGACCGTTTTTGTCATTTACTAATATGCAAGTCTT